TTGTGGGTTTTGAGAGCGGGATGTTAAATTTCGGATTTGCGTTGTTCCTGAACCCTTAAACCCTAAACCCTGAACCGTAAGCCCTAATGCTGAACCCTAAACCCTGAGCCCTAAACCCCCTAAACCCTGAACCCTAAGCCTAAACCCGGAACCCTAAACCCTAAATCCTAAACATTAAACCCTGCACCCTAAGCTTCCCAACCAAAATTGAAATTCCAAGCACTCTGAGTTCATAACCCTGCCCACCTACGTGACAGGCCCCGCAAACTGCAACCAGAGAACCCTAACCCCGAAACTCTAGGGTCTGAGCTCTTGTAATAACCCTAAGACCCTAAGCCCAACCCGAATATAATATAAGACTCTAAACCCGAAATCCTCAATAGGAAATTCGAAGCCTGGCATTCATCCCTGCGCAACACCAGCCTTTAAAGCCTTACTTAATTAACCATCAGTCCGTGTATCACAGCAGCCCGCCTCCCTCACTGGCCGCCAGATCTGGAGCTGGGCCGCCGGCTGCACCAGAGGAGAGCAGCTTCATTCCGTCAGGGACCTAGCCGCTTTGCACCCGTTCTTGAACCAGTCGGAGCATGCATGTCTTGAGTTGACAGCAGCGGTTGCGCGTATGCTTCCGCATGGGCTCAAATTTGTTTGCCCTGCCATGACATGTCATGCTGTAATAAGACATGATGTCAGGACAGCAGAACACATAATCAGGTTCGTAGGGCAGCAGCTCACATGCAACAATTAACAAGGGCAGCAAGTCCACTGGAGCAGTAGCTCAGTAGCATTGAGCAACTCGGGGCATCAGCTCATTAGATTCTGGGCAACAGCTCACAATTCGGGGCATCAGCTCATTAGCTTGGGCAACAGCTCATAATTCGGGCCATGAGGTCATTAGTTTAATGGGCAACAGCTCACAATTCGGGGCATCAGCTCACTGTAATATAATCAGTGAATCAGCTCACTAGCTTAGCTTACCATCGATCCTCGACTTGCCGCCATGCCTGCAAATCCGAATCGGCCGAGCAAGGTCAAAGGTCAGGCCAAGTTTGCGGCCAGGAAGACGAAGGACGGGCACAGGGTTTAACGGAGTTCGGGGATTAAGTTTAAATGCTTTAGGGCTTTGGGTTTTAGGGTTCGGGTTTGGGAGTGCAATGCATCCACTGTTCACGTCGTCCTTTTACCATCCAAGCTCCTGATAGGAGCAGCTGGATGCCGTGCAGGAGCAGATCGCTGAGATGAGGCGACAGCTGGAAGCTGCAAATGCTGCCAAAGCAGCAGCTCCAGTGGTCGTGCCTGCCACTTTGTTTGCATCGGTAACTGTTGGCTTCATTTCAGGGGAATGCCCCAAAAGAAGTTAAGTAATTAGGGGAGGTCAGCCTAGGTTTCGTTGCATTGGAATCCTGTCCTTCGTTTCGAGAACCCGGAAGGAGCATCTGGCGGCTTTGCAGCAGCAGATGGCGGCGCTGCAGCAACAGCTGGCGAAGCAGCCTCCAGCTTCCTGTTTGAATGAGTGAGTTTTCGGGCATTGTTCATGTGACTCAAGCTCTCGTGTTGTTTTGCGTTGTCAGGTTGCGCCGGCTGCACCGGCTGCACCTGTTCCAGCGCGACCCATGGCAGTTTCTTGGCCGAGTGTATGGATACAGAAATCAGACAAAAGCATTGGTTTTGAAGTTGCTCAAGCTTCTATGCTCTCAGGCTGCACCCCCGGAGGCAGCCTCATCGTCATGGGAGGTGACCTCTCTGCATCTTTATGCACGGTGCTGAATTGCGACTTGCATCTCCACAAACCAAGGGCCGTCCGAAGACTGGTGCTGGCGATGCTGGGAAAGCTGCTGGCAAGGGCTCGGGCTTCAGACAAGAGCTTTGTTTCTAATTTGAGCACGTGCTTTTATTTCCCCAAGGTTTGATTACTTTAGTTATAAGTCGTATCTGGGTCGAAGCTACATGCATACATGAATCCTACACAAGCAAGGACCTCCATCAAGCCCATATGGACCTGCTGTCGTGCGCCTCCACATCCAGGCTTCGTCCTATCCTTGGGTCACTGGCCAAACTGGACAGCGAGGACTTGGACAAGATCATGGCCATGGACGGCGTCCCTCAGAAGTTTGACCTCTTCCTGAAGCAGGGCGACTCGGTTCGCAGCACGGTGCTCATGACGTTGTTGAGGACAACGAAGTGCATCCCGGTGCTCGTCCCGACGATCATGGCGGTGGTCGAACAGGAGTCGGTTGAACGTCGACTCATCGGCCAGCAGATTCTGGATTGCTGGGTTCCGGGGCTGCTGGAGAGGAAGCCTGACGTGGCAGCCACTTGGAGAAATTAGCCATGTCGCATGATTCATTCTTCAGTTCAAACTTGCTCGCGATTGCATTTGACTTGCTATTTCAGATTGATCCTTTGACTGCGGTGCCGAAGCTCTACATGGAGGAGCATCACAAGGCTGGGTGATCAACCAAAACAAAGCCCTAAGCCCCTTCCCCGTATTGATCAGATTAATTAATTAACTTACTACTTGAAGCCTTAAGCCCTTCCCCGTACTGATTGGAACATTGTCGTATATTGGGATTTATTACCCCTAATTTAGGGCAAAAGTAAAAGCCAGGAGCCTTTCTTTCTCTCTGGGTGCCCTGAAGGCCACAGCTGCGGATGCTGGGAAGGCTGGCGCGGTGCCTCCCAAACCGCCAGCCAAAGGCTCCGTGGGGAAGGCTCTGGCGGTGGCGAGGGCGAAGGCCGTCGAGCCAAAGGCTGGGGCGGTGGTGGCGAAGGCCAACGAGCCGAAGGCTGGGGCGGTGGTGGCGAAGGCCAAGGCCAACGAGCCGAAGGCTGGGGCGGTGGTGGCGGCGAAGGCCAAGGTCATCGAGCCGAAGGCTGGGGCGGTGGCGAAGGCCAAGGTCATCGAGCCGAAGGCTGGGGCTGGGGCCAAGGCGATCCTGCAGCCGACGCCGAAGGTCAGCAGGAAGAGGGCGAGGTCTCCGCCCCCGTGATCCGGCCAGAGTGGAGGAAAAAAGGGCGGGGTCCGAGTTGGTGCTTTCTCGTTGTCGCTGCGTATTTGGTCTTGCACTTTACTTCATCATGATTTCGCCCAGGCTGGACCTCCCGACCATTCCGGCTCTGTCCGGGCCCCGAGGCACTCGCGGTTGCTGCCATGCTGGTTTGACGGTGGGGTTCCTGACATGAGTTCTGATCTGACTGGTTAGGCAGCTGCTTATTTCGTGAATCCACAGGCTCATCAGGTAATAGCCCTCAGCTTAGTAGCCATACATACGTGTGGTCAGAACCGTCATGTCGTTCATGGTGCTTCTAAGAAATAAGAAATCAGAAAGTTTATACATACATCCGTGTTGCAGTGTGGTGTTGAAGCAAGCCACGTCCAAGGCTGCATCATCGTCATAGAATGCACTATAACGTAACGTGTCCTAGCCTATTTCATTCAACTAGGGCTCCGGGACAGTGCAGCATAACCTGTTACAATGCCGCCTCTCAATTCGAGACATGTTCGATTTCCTGAGAATTGGCGTGGTGTCTATGATGTCTTCCGCAATAGAGCCCGGCGAGAGGGCAACATCATATTGGGTGCGATCTCCATGTTTGACGGCGCGGTTAGGACGAATAAAAGGCTGTCGGATTGCTTCACCGAGAAGGGCTTGCCGTGCTTCAGTTATGACATTTTGAACCCAGGATGTCACGAAAGCCAGGACGTCTTGACTCAGCAGGGCTTGCTTTTGTTCCTGGATGCACTTTCTCGGTTGGAGCCTGACTCATTGGT